GGAGTCTTTCCACCTTCCTCCCTACAGAACCACATTTTTCACCTTAAATAAATGAAAACAGTCCAAAGGTCCATGTGGCCCAACATTTCTTCAACTTGGTGCTCTCCAAATGTGAGAGAATGTGACCTCCATGTCTGTGGGCAGCTTGGGGTGCATTCAAATACACCCATTGACCATGCTTCTGGAATAACAGGTCTGTTAAAGTTTCTCACCCAGGCAGTGGACAAAGGGAATTGAGTGGATAGAGGAATTCAGCAGGCAATTTATCTGAGTATTTTCCACCAAGAGTAAAATAATTCCTCTAGCAAGTTGTCTTGATTGCAGAATTTTCCACTAGAGGTGATAACAACGTTGTAACTGAAAAAGACAAGAAGTTCCATCAGGACATTGTTCCTCAGTATTTAATTTGCAATATCACACATGCTTAGCCACATAAAGAACTCTACCTTCCACCCGTGAAGTTTTTTCCCAAAATTTTCTGCTTCTTTGAAATACAATCTAAAGCAGATTCTTTTTCTGCAAACCAAATGAAAACACAGGACAATTTATTTGTCTGGCAATAAGAAAATATAAACCTTGTTTATTCCAGCTTCAGTGAGCCAAGAATTTTAAATGGAGTTTCCCACCAAATAATTTGGTAATAACTGTGGATATATTTCTCTTTAAGAGTTATGTCATTTATCTTATTCCCAATCAGGTGTTATCCAAATGAGTTGGATTTCAGCTGCCATTATCCTTGGCCAGCTCAGTGTCCTTGCTGGCCTTGTTCCTATCCTCCAGCTTCCCCATTGATTTTGCTGGTTGCAAATGGTGATCACATAACTGCAGGATGCTGTGACCATCATAAATGTATGATGGTTGCCAAGCACCTGAATTAACATCACATGAGTTTGGTGATGCTGTGACAGTCAGAAACTGGATGACAGATCACAAATTTTTCAGTACAGTACAGTACAGCACAGTTCAAACTTCAAATGGACGCTAAACAAATGGTTGGTAAATAAGGATTACTTATAGCTCATTAAAAGAAAAAGAAAAAAACCTTTTTCTGACCTTGTCCTTCCAAATCATTATTTGTAAAACACTAATTCATTGTGAGAAAGCAGGAAGAAATAATTATTCCACAGTGATGAATTCAGAATAAATGGCATGAAGATGTTTGTGCAGTCTCAGATAATTTACAAACCACAGGAATTTACGGCTGACACATATGTATTCCACAACATTTGCCACATATGATTAAAAGAAGTAATTGGAAATCATTCTGAGTTGAAATCTTCAAAAACCATCAAGTAAATCTATTTGTGTTATATTTAACAATCATCCCAGCTGTGCAGAGTGCTACTAAATAGGTATTTTCATACATCCCAACACTTTTCCCAACATAGAAACTTTCCCAGGAGAATTTCTGATACCTGATTAAGAAAAAGCAAAGGAAATTGATGGCCAACAAATGTTTAAATCCATAGACACTTTTAAAAACTTTTCAACATGTTTTTGCTGATTAAAAGGCATATTGGTTCCCACAGAGGCACAGAAATGGCAGGGAATTAGCTGCCAGTTGAGCCAGCAATGCCTAAGAGAGAAGTACTCTCAGTGGATAATGAAAAGATGTTTGTCAGAAGGCTTTCTGAGACCAATCAATGTGCCTGAAAGAGAAAGTTAGAGGGCTAAAAGATGGTACTGGATGATGAGGACCTTTCCAGTATGACGACCTTTTATATCTGTCAAGTAAGTTAAACTTCTTAGTGCAGTGCAAACGTTCATCTTGTAGCAGCAATCTTAGTAGAAATTCAAGGCTGAATCAGTTTCCATTGTCATCTTCCTTTTGTTGATATTGGTAGTAGCTACCGGCAGTGCAGGGTGAACACAGGGCATGCATTGTCTTCCATTGGTCTCTCTCTGATCCTTTATTCAGGGAAAGCTGGATGAGTTCAGATCAATTATTCTTAATTATACCTATACTGAACAGTGAACCCTTTTCAGAATGAGATAATTTGTTATAGGTAATAACTAACTGTGGTAGTGTTTCCCACAGAATTCACGTATTTTAGTGTTCTTTTCCCTTTCATGTGTGAATAAAATGCAGTTTTACAGTTTATGTACTTGATTGATCTGCAGTAGAACTCTTAGTTTAATTGTTACATTAATCAGCCCAAATTATAGTCAATTAGCCTGTTGAGCCCAATGTTTATTGGTAAATGCTAATAGATTTAGGCTTTTGTTTATTTTTTTAATTATTTTATTTCTATCATGAAAGTACAGGAAGAAATGGAAAATAATATATTAAGACAGCTTCTCTGAATTAATTTTTTATTAACAGTTCAGCATTAACAGTTTAAAATAGTTGGGTATTTTCCACAAAAATAGACATATTCATTTATGGAATGTCCTGTGTAATAAACTAAAACAGAAGTGTTGCAGCTATGAAAATCAAATTGTATATCAGTCTGACCGAACAAACCATCTACATATGAGTTTGACTACAGCTCATTTGTACCTTGAAAAGTTCTGTGTGGGAAATACAAATTACACTTAATCCATCTGGGGTGTTAGGGATAATGATGCAGCAAATGTCTGCATTTATGCATATGAAAATGAATTTATACCAGTTCTCTTATATTGTAGGAACCACAACTCTTGAACTCTTCTGTACAGGGCACACTCTCATTGCTGTGTAAATAAATCAAGTTTATGTTCCTTGTAGAGCCATATAAAGAGATGAACCAGGTTATGTTGGTCTATTAAAACTAATTTTGTTCATGGACATAAAGGAACCAGACAGTTACACGGGAGAAATGATTATTTGAGTTCCAAATCACCATTGAAATAACTTTTAATATCCTTAGAGAGAAACCATATTATTTGGAAAGCTGCAAATTTAACTTGTACTGTATTTTAGGAGTAAGCACATTAAGCAAGCATGAAAGATAAATAAAAACATATATGGACAGATCCCAAAATGAACTGATTTCAAATATTCTGAGAACAAACTAAATCTTAATGTTTAAACACAATTGCTGCAAACATGAGGACAAAAAGGAACAAAATGTAAGCTCCAGTATGGAACAGGATTAAGACATGGCTAAATCTTTTCTTATACGCGACTTCCCCAAAAGAAATCACATTAGGCATAAAAGATTTATGAGCAATAGAGGGCAAACAGAAAGATAAAGCATCATTGGTTATTATTTCCATATCATTACTATTTTTATAGGAAAAACTATATATTAGAAGTTGGTTGTGTTACTTTAAGCTTCATTAGGAATCATAAATTTGGAACATGGATGTAGCAATTATTCTTCATCATTGAATCTAGAATAAATCGCTGAGGGGTGGTATATTTCTTCGTGTATGATCTATAATTGAATAGTGTACCTTCTTGAGCTTGTTTATTCCTCTTTTCAGTAACAATCTTTCATTCATTTTCTAGCTAGCAAGAGAGAGAGCAAAGTACCATACAGTGAAATAATTATCCTCTACGAATAGCAAAAGCTCAGTGTTATCTGTTTCCATGGACTAAACTAATCTATAGTCATGTTTCCATGGAGAATGGTTCCACTTTCATTATGACCATTGAACATCCAAGCATCCAAACTATCCAGGAAAAATTTGCAAGCACTTGATAAAGGTGTTCTTCAAAATCCCTCAAAAATGTGATTGATTGAGAGAAGGAGAACAAACACTTTAGAACAATACCAGTGAGGAGAAATAATCCATAACATTATATTTCATATTGTCTTCACATAGATTTCCTTCATGTTTGTGCCAACCATTAACCTATTTCCAATTCCATCTCATTTTTGTATTTCGCAGCTAGTGTTCCACTTTGAGGGAAAGCTGGCTAAAGAAAGTTTAATGCATATACATGGCCAATGTGTAATTACATTAGTATCAATGGCACTTCCTGTTACTATGATTTCTATCTCCCAGTCACTCCAAAATAACTGGCACTGATCATAGTCATAATGTTTTTTTCCTGCCACTCTCAAAATGTTAAGAACATAGTTCTTCATAGTCAGCTATCTTTAGTTTCCAGTTGACCAAAAATACAAAATTTCAACAAAAGCAACACAATCAACACCACACTTCAACCCTGTCCATTATACTATCCATCCTAAAACAATTTAAAAAAAAACAAAGAACTATGCAAGCTGCCTTCCCACAAATCTTAGTTATGCCAGTAGTTATATCTCTTTGCAAAATAATAGAATATTATCAGAAAGAGTTAATCAAACAAAATTTCTCATGTAGAGATGCCCACAAATATCACATCCTGATAACTCACAGCTGTTGATTCAATGTTCATAGGAATGATCTGTCATATTATTTTGTTTTTAACAAAACGTATCAATGTTCAAAACTTTGCACATAGAGCCAAAAAAGACCTATTATTCAATACAGATTGAAAACCCTGTTATATTACTTTGTTTCTATAACTTAATTGTGCAACCAATTTATCATACTTTGAGGTCAATTGTATGACAATTTTTTATTGTCTCCACACTGCACTCCACCCTTCAACAAAATATTTTCCCAGGCAAATAATAATAATAAGATTACAGTAGCAAAGACTAAAACATGAAAGACTGGATATCTATAAAATCAGCATAATTGATAATAGCAAATAAATGAAACCACAAATTCCATCATATTTTTCAGTCTACTGGCTGTTTATAAATGCCCAGTGAAGCTGATAAAAAGGCAACATTGTGGCTATTATCTAATGTCAGCATAGGCTTACATTAGATAACTCTACAACTTGGGGCAAGGACTCATCCAACAAAAATAAGTACTATTAATATAAGGACAACAGGTGACAAGTATATCTTTGCACAACACATAATAAGCTTTAGAATTTTATTTATTTATTTATTTTTGTCAATTGCTTACA